TTAGATGGTTGAGTGGAAAGATGAAAAGATGATGCTGACATGAATTTCAAAGAAGTCCCAATCTTTATTTAATCTTTCAAAGAAGTCCATCTTACTAGACATTTATCCAGTCATAATGAAATATGATAATTTTTATATACACTGGTTTTAAAAGCAAGACATAAGCATTTAAGCAAAGTAGTATGGTCTTGACAGAACAGGAGTTAGGGAAGGGAAGAAAAACGTTATTATGCCATGAGTACTAAATCTGATGCATAAGTACAACTCACCTGTGATTAATTTTAGGTTGTTGTATAACATGGAAGGATCTCAAATTTGGGAGAACAGATGAATTTAGGGGGGGGGAACACCAAATCTAGAGTAGTTAACTTTGAGGTCGCCAATTATTCTTAAAGCAGCCGTTGTATTTTGTTATATCTTACATATATATTATTTTAAATGAAAATTCTTTTACATATATTCTTACTTTTATAGTTTAAATTTGAATAAATACTGCTGCATGATCCATTTATAAAATACTGTCATGTAAAATATATGTGGTGTATACATACAAACATTATGACAACAAAAGCTCTTAAATAGCTTTTACTTTCACAACCATTGGTCTAAGACAAATACTCCAATTACAAAAATGTTTCTAATGATGTTACACTTTGTTTAGGCACTTTTTGATTTAAAAGTTACTTTTGCAAAAATTATGAAATCTTTACATTTTATACATCTTCATGCCCATATCTAGGAAAACCTTATTGTAAAAATAAAACAAAAAGTTTGACTCTAATATGACAAAAATTAATCAAGATATTCAACATCATTTTGAACTTGCCTTTAAAAACGTCAATTAATAAAGAAAGTTTGAATGATTCGAGGTTGATATATCTCCTTAAATATTATTCAATGATATTCTCTAACAATTTACTAAAGTGCCTTTCTTTAATATGTAATTTCGTTACAAATGATGTGGCAAAAGAATTTTCACATAAGTAATTTTATAAATTTTCAAATGCTAAAAGTATTTTATTAATATTTTTACATGAAGTTTTTATTGCTTTAGAATCATTATCTAACTATTGTACAAGAAATTCATTGAATCAGAAATATTTTTATCATATATATATTTTTTACATTCACTGTAGTGGCCGGTATGGTGGTTGGTATTACCGTCTGCCATATCAATAGGCTTGAGTTCGAATTCCTAAGAAGGGTTGGATGTTTGTCTTTGCAGCAAGAAAGCACTTAAAATACATGGTGAGCCAAAAAAGTAGCTTGGTGGTAGGGGAGGAGAAATGGGCGGCCCTTAGACACATCCCCGCAGAAATTCTCCTTCAAAATAGAGACAGAACTGGGCAAAATCGCATTGTCACCTATAAAGTGCCCAGCTCCATGCCATAGACTGAAGCAAACTTGTGCTTCTTGCCACGATAAAATTCACAGAGTTGATCTGATGTTACTGTATGACAAATAAAGAAGCCCCAATAACATAGTTTTTGCAAATAATGTTAAGAGTGTTAGTTATGTATTAATACTGAAGCCATTCAGTGTTTTCCAGATCATGAATTCTGTAAGATTAATGATAAACTGCAAAAAATTGCTTACCACTTAATTTATTCACATCAGAAATTTATTTTAAAATATTTAATATTTTAGTTAAATATCTATGCAAAAAACTGGCTATTTAATTTGTGTATAGTACCTGAATATGATCACCTTAAAAATGAAACAGCTCTTTCAATTTCTGTTGCACTGAAGTCAAACATTTTGTATTTTATAATTAGTATAAAATTTTCCTATAGTACCTGAATATGATCACCTTAAAAATGAAACAGCGCTTTCAATTTCTGTTGCACTGAAGTCAAACATTTTGTATTTTATTTTTATAATTAGTATTAAATTTTCCTAAATATAAGTACAGAAACAAGAATATATAAAAAATTAAGATCCTCACATAGCTGACTTTATTATATTTAAAAATGTCAAAATAATATTTCCATCATTTGAAACATTTTTGTAACTGGAAGTATTTGCCTATGATCAGTGGTTGCAATTAAAAGTTTTATGAACACAGTGTGTGTATGTTACTGTAAAAGCCTGAAGTCTGGTACAACCTAGCTTTTACTAAAGTGGCTTGGTAAAGTTCGAAGTATGCTTTAACAAGATTGCATTTCAGACAAGCGGTAAAACCTAGGAGTTACCAGAGGTTTCCGGTAAAAGAACAAAACGAGGGATTATTTATGATAGGATTTTCCATTCGCAGATATATTTTACACAGTGCGTCCCAAACAAAAATTAAAACACACTTCCTAATTGATAATATAAATCATAAAAGTGATCAAAATAAGATATGATTTAAGATTATGTTGATGAAACTGTTTTGCAATTATTTTTCAAGAATTACAAGAAATAAAAATTTAAAAAAAAAATGTAATATTTATGCAATTTCACAAATATGATCCCATGCAAAAAAGCTGAATTAATGCATAATTATCTCGATAACTATTGAGGAGATTTCAATCATTTTTAAAAATAATCTTGGCATTAGTTAAAACACTTAAATCGATAGTAAAAGCTAGGTTTTACTAGACTTCAGGCTTTTATAGTAACATAACACAAACAGATGCAAGGTGAGATTACAACTAAGCAATTTTCAAATTCAGCTCAAATAACATTCAAGTAATGTAAAGATTTATGGAACATACTGTTTACATCACTTGAGTACGAGGGTTACTGTAACACATATTTTCTATCATCGTAAAAACAACCTTGTATTTAGCGTAAGTATAATGAAACACTCAATCAATTTCGAGGGCAGCTAAAGGTCCCTCCTCATCAGGAGAAAGAAATACCTAGAAAGAAGAAAATAAAGGAGAAGGAGTCTCAGAAACACGTGGTCCTTATCAGCAGTGCACGTGGTTATAACTTGATTTTTAATTAGAGAATTTTTTAATCAGAGAATATTTTCTATTTGACATGCTTTAATAAGTGTGAAAACTTATTAAAGCATTTCTCAAGAAATGCCCCTCCGACACAAAATACAATCAATTTCTGTTTATTCCTATTTTTTCCCAAACAATATTCAGTTTTTGATAATTTAGATTTATGATAGTTAAGAATTTATATCTAAATAAGTAGGGGGAAAAAAAAACAAGCGAAAACACTATTATGTACTATGACTGCAAAGTACTTTAACAACAACACTTATGGTAAGTGTACTTGGTACATATTGCTCCATCCTATTCATTTTCTTGCACATGCTAATATTCCATTTCAAGAGTTTAGCCAAATCTGCAATGCCTGGGGATGAAGTGACTTAATTTTAATAAAGCATTAGATTCTCACTATAGATTTCTTTATGAAAGGTAAAGAAATATATGGCTGAAGACCCTTAATTCCTTCTTTAGCCAAATCTACAGATCTTCTTTCAGCATGACCTTCAGGTTGATTTCTCAATACTAGATGAGCTACAGTTAGTTCCACTTTTTTTGTCAGCAAACTTATAAAAGATGCTACTATTGCTTACAGCCCACTTTTCTGATATGTGTAATAATAATCATTATTTTTATGTTAATTTAACACAATAGCATATGTTTTACATCGATTCTAATTATAAAATACAGCAACAGTTTGATTCAATTAATATATTTGTAGGTGTAGAATGCAGTCTCATCTTTTACATCATACACAATATGTAAATAAATATTTATTTATTTATTAAATGGAAAAGTCAAAGAACTGAAACTAGATTATAGTGAAGATACAATAACACGCCGAACAAATATTAATTTAGAAGTCAAATAACAAAAATCAGAGTTATATTTTCAAATATTTCACATTTTTTCAGTGAAAATTTGAAAATATAATGCTGATTTTTTTTACTTGACTTCTAAATTAAATTATAGTGGTTGAAATATTTCTTTTGCATTAACACAAGCAGCAGCCAATGAAAGGAAAGATTTACAGACCTTTGTTTTGACATAGTTCTAAGATCAAATACAAATTATGTAAGTAATACTTTGATTCAATAAAAATAATATATTTGTACATGTGGAATGCATTCTCAACTTTTACATTATACGCAACATGTCAAATAGTAAGTATTTATTAAATGGAAAAGTCAAAAAACCTATAGTGAATTATAAAAGTTAAAATAATTTTTCTGCGTTGACACAAGCAGCAGCACTATGAGCTAATGAAAGGAAATTGCATGCATAGATTTGTTTTGGTATACTTCTAAGATCAAATACAAATTATGCAAATCTCTTCAATGCTAATGAAAAACTGCTCTTTTAATTTTGGGATGAAAAATTAGCCTCAAAGACACAAATCTGGAGAATAATGATATAGCTAAATACATGCATTTGTTTTAATGCCAGAAAGCACTGAAGTTGCTCTGCCATGCAGTACAATGCATTTGGCATAATGGCTTTCCACTGTATTAAGTGAAATGCATACCTGAAAACTGTTTTAAGTCTCAGGAAAAAAAAAAAAAAAAACACTGTTCTGATAATTTTTTTAATGCAATGCAGTTTTTAATAACAATTTTGCAAGACTTTTTTTAAACTCTCTTTTTAACTGCTACAGTATTTAAAATAGATTAGCTTTACATTAATTCTATTCATAACTCCTATTATATACTGGCATGAAATAAAAACTGAGGTTTATTATAAACACAAGAATTTATAATCAGCACTATCTACATATTTTAAAAATATACATTAAAGCTACCTTTTTCCCATTTATAAACAAGTAAGCCACATATATCTCACTCTCTTAAATTAATATTTTCCCAATGGCTACTTATGTAGAAACTGAATTTTGAATCATACTGAGCATTAGTTAATTCTTGTTAACAATAAATCTTCAAGGGGAGAAGAGGAATGCTGCTAAAATGCTTACACTGTTAAATATCAAAACTTAAATAACAATGCAAATATATTAAAATAGGTGTCAAGGATGAAAAAGTGCATTTTGTATAGTAAAAAAATTCATTATAATAATCCAACTAGCATTAAAAATTATTTTATTTACTTAAAAAGTTTCTGCAACATACATTTCCCTTCAGATTTTTATTGATTTTTTACATCATAATTTATTAGATTCTTTTCTATTAGCATTTTTAGGCAAATGTAAAAGAAAATATAAAAATTAATTTTCATATAAATCACATAACAAGGATAATCATTTTTCATAAAAATAAAGATAAAATGACTTAAATATATGTCAAACATACAATACCTCAAGCTAACACAATATGTGGTAATTTGAAACATTCCTAAATGATACCGGGGTACAACAGCCTACTTATTTTCCACTGTTAACTCCCAACATCAAAGCAAAAAATGTATCTATATCGAACAATATATATGACAACCCTTTTAAAATAAAATCTAATTATGTACACTCCGGTATCAACATGCTATAAGCTTTCTGAATGATCAACAAAACTTTTGAGATAAATATACATGCCAGTTCCATCATCAGTTAGTTAAAGATTGAATCCTTTGAATTGTATTTATTCAATCACCATAGCTAACAGCAGTGATGCTATGACATTGATCTAGACTTGTTGCCAAGAGTAGAAATATTAGATTCAAAATGGTACAGGTGCAATCAAAATGAGAACTGTCCTTCAGCACAGAAAGCCTATTAGGCAGGAATTAATACATACAAGTCTGCATTTCATTGATACATTCAGTCTGCATGCCTCATTTTGAACTCCAAAGAGCTTCCTTCTCTGGCAAATATCACTAAAGCAAATTATCAAGATTAGTAAATGCACATGACCCCAGTCCTGCTTTAGACATTAATTTTACAAGTTCCTGAGTATGTGCCATTGCCACTTCTAGAGGAGGCTGTCTTGGTAGATTTTGAGATTCTGAAAAGAAAAAAAAAAAAAAAAAATTTTTTTTTTTTTTTTTTTTGACATAAAATTTAGGACAGAGTCATGCCAGTTGATATTAACAGTCAAAGTTAAATATATTTATAGTTTTATTTATTTCATCTGTTCATGCAGAATAATGAATAATATATGTTATATATTTGTTACATTACAACTGTGCAAAAATGAGCCCAAATTATCAGAAATATACAGCACATATTCCTGAAGGAAATGCATCATCAGATGAATCACTAATGAAATTTTGTGGTTATTTGCCTTAAAAACAATTAAATCTAAAAGAGAGAGAGATTCAGTATCAAGATTTATAAAATTATGCAAGATCAGCAATGGTTAGAAACGTGCCTTCAAAATTTATATCAGAAAGATAAATAATTAAAAATTCAATCAGCTTCACATCTGAAAATGTTTTAGAATTGGAAAAACCTATTTTCAACAAAGTATACATAACATATTTAGGCGATTGGTACACATCCCTATTATTTTCCAAATTAGTTTAACTGAAAATACACGCTGTTGGAAGCGTGAAAATACACGCTGACACAAACAAGGAAACATGCCAAAAGAATTAGTTACAAGATGAAAAAGGGAAACTTGACAAGTTCCTGTAACCAAATACTAGCCTTAAAGTGGACATATATATATATATGTCATCTACAAAACATGTTAATGCAAACATAACTGCTACTGAATAAGAACAAGTGATTTAAAAAAAAAAAAAAAAAAAAAAAAAAACCCTCTGATATATAAGAAAGGAAACAAAATGTGTCTGATTATAATGAATACATACAGGAAGTCAAATGTGAAGACCAGATGCTTGTGTGCTTTCCAGTAATCAGATTATGCTCATCGGATTAGAGTAAAACACTTTTTTTATTTACACAATACAACATTCTTCAATAACTGCATATTGTATTGCAAAATATCCAAAAAGTCTATTCCTATAAATTTTTACTAGATAAAACAAAACAAACTTTACTAACAGCTCCACATATTAAATAGCATATCTGAAGAAGACAATCTATAGCAAAAAGATGGAGAATGATGAATGGGATATGTCAAAGGAAGAATGCAAACAACATTCACATGCTTCTGCACCCACCCTACATGAAAAAAAATTCCACTAAAGTTTATAAAGTTTGTTGAAAATACAAAAACTACAGAACATTTACATATTACAGAACAGTTTAGAAATATTATATTAATATAAACTATGAAGTAAAAACTCTTACAATAAGAGAAAATCACATTCATAAATTATTTTTTATTTACTAAAGATTTTGTTTGTGAAATTAAAAATTAATAACTATAAATGTGTCACATTTAAAATTTTTCTCTGTAATATCATATCACCTTGGTAATGAAAAATAAATAGTTACTTCTTTTCACCTGACTGAAAAAGTATTCCAAAATAATGAACTTAAGAATATGTATGACATAAGTAAATTTCACAAAAATTTATGCCAAGTAAATCTATTTTATGATAGCAAAGTACACATTTGCTTACATCAGCGGTTCTCAACCTTTTGACTAATGTGTAACACCTAAACAAAAATTGAAAACCTTTAGTACCACTACTAGAAAGTACTACTACCACCACCAGAACAAAGCGCACATCGAGTAAATTTACAAGTGTTAGAGAAAAAAACTCAATCAGGATGTTGGGGTTTTAATTTTTGAGTTTAATAGTTAAAAATACTTTGCTTCTGCAAGTATTTTTTGAATTTAATAGGTAAAAATACTTGCAAAGAAAAACCACCTATTTTTCTTTTGTGTACCACCGGTTGAGAACCTCTGGCTTACATAATTATAGAACAATAAATATCTGACACTTTATATTGGACAAAATTTTAACAATTCAGCAAAAAAAAAAAAAAAAAAGACATATGCTTAGATTAGATCACTTAATACTATTCATCAATGTTAAATAATGTAGTTATTTTATCCGGGGGGGATTAAAAAATGCAACACAGTCAAAAGTCGTTAATTCGGACACCCATAATCCGGAATGATCTATAATCCGGACCTCAAAGCTAAAATCTTTCTGCGCATGCGCATAGGCGTTTTACTCGTGCGCATAAGACATTTACGACTGCGCAAGTGCAGAATACGTTTTCGCGTGCGCGTTTAATGTATAACAGACGCTATAAGCTAAAATTATCTAATTATCTATTTCAGTTAATGTTGATGATTGCGTTGTTCCTTAATCTTCGAATTGGATCCGGCTTATTATTTTTTGCAGACTGTAAGAGGAATTTTCTAAAAGTAAGCTTGAAGTTTTGATTATGTCAAATAGAATTTCCGATGCTGGAGCTTCCAAAGGATCTAGAAAACGAAAGTATGTTTCGATGTCCATCACACAAAACGAATTGCTACAAAAAATGGATAAAGGCATATTCTTTGTTTATCTAACCGTTCCGAAATCTGTTTATCAATTTCACGAAATCTGTTTATCAATTTCACACTGCTCTGCGCGCGGGGGGGGGACGTCGCGGCGTGCAGTGAACTGGAAGTTGATTTGTCAACACTATCGTTATCTTCAGAGCAGATGTTTTTATTTTATTCGGCTTATATTTCTTTACTAAATGTAGTATTTAATTTCGATGTACTCCGTCTTTGATATGATTTAAATCAAATTCCTCGTCATTATAAATACCACGAATACAAATCAAATAGTTTTCTGGTTGCAATTTTCTAATTTCGGCTATGCATAAGGTATGCTTTACGCATCCGCGCGTTGAAAGAAATGTTCAATAAAGTAAACAAATAAATATTAGGCTTCTTTTTTGGTAAATTTTGATACCCTTTAAATCATAATTGCTCATTATTTTATAAATTACGGTTTCATATTTTTAATTTTATAATTTCTGCATGCCATCTTACCAGATTTAAACTGATGATCTATAATCCGGAAAAATCGATAATCCAGAATCGCCGAAGTCCCGACGAGTCCGGATTAAAGACTTTTGACTGTACTTGCAAAAATTGCTTGCTTCTTTTTAGAGCTCAGGACTATGACTGGAAATGAATAAATCTCAGCTGACGCTTCTAAAATTTTAAAACTGATGAGGATTAAACATTATATGTACTTAAAATTAAAAATCAATGGTTTAAAAAAAACAAATTGCCCAAACAATTTTGTCAAAATTTTGCAGCCAAGGATTTACACTGACATTTCCAAAAGTGTACATCAAATACAAATCAGTATATGTTATACACTTTCTAAATTCAAAGACTCGCCAAATTATAACCAGGTTATCACTGTTGTAATCTTAAATCCTAATTCCCTTATACAAAATTCCTTCTTTAATGTTGTATCTGTTGTCCTGCAATACAATTTTTAGTTAATGGAAAAGAATAATTCAGCAATGATACTGCTTGTAAGTATAAATAAATTTAAAGAAAAGTAGGGTGATCTCTTAAAAGTCTAACCAATGTTTCCTGATGAAAAACTGTTAAATTCACTTCGCGAAAAACACATTTTAGTTCTTAAGTACGGGACTATGACTAGAAATGAATAACTTCAGCTGGCCACTTAAAATTTTAATGCACTGGAATTTATGAGGAATTATAATGAAGGATTAAAATGCATTGAAAGAATCTGAAGTTAACTGCAAAATCAATGTTTCAATAAATAATTAAATAAAGAAAATAAGGGAACCCACAGCAAGTGATATACATCATATGCTTGATTTTGATTAAATTGCTAAAAGCATTCAAAATTCCATTATAAAGTAAAAAATATATGTACAAGAAATGGTTTCAGATTTTTTTAAATTTCTATCATAAGAATGAATGTCCACTGATTAAAGTCCACTCATATAACATGTACCATCTATAAACAAGGAATTGCCCCCTTCATTATGTATGGCTCTAGAGTCTGGGGTATATCGCTCAAGAAGAAGATAAATTATAGATATTTACGACGTGTTCAAAGGCGGATACTTCCGCGGGTCATATGTGGATATCGTACCGTAAGCTATGAGTCTGTTTATGCAATTTCTGGCTTTCCTCCAATTGACATTGCCATTCTTCATTCTATTGCTTATAAGGAAAATATTTCTGCTTCTACTGTCTCTCAGTATGATTGTATATTACCTCTATCTGATCTCCCTCATCCTTCAGAAAGAAATGCTGTTAATTTTATTCAGTTTAGCAATAAAGTCGTAGATGATTCGCCTGTAACTTGCTATACTGATGGCAGCAAAATTGATGGCAAGGTTGGTCTCGCATTTGTTGTCTTCAAAAATGGTCTTGAATTTGAGCACTTTCAATTTAGAATCAGAGATGAATGTACCGTTTTCATAGCTGAACTTTTGTGCTTAAACTTCGCCGTCAAATGGGTCTCTAAACAAAACAGTGCTGTTTCAGACTATCTCATTTGTACTGATTCCCTTTCATCCTTGGAGATCTTAAAATGTATTTCTTCTTCTAATAATATCATTATCGAGATTCAAAAAGAACTGAAAAATCTAAAGGATAAAAATATTTCGGTTTCATTTTCATTTATTCGTGGTCATACAGGTGTTGTTGGGAACGAAAGAGCCGATTTCCTTGCTAAGACTGCGACTAAGCGGGAAATTGACACTTTTGTCAATATCCCTAATTCCTTCTATAAGAAGGTCATGTATGAAAGCATTGTGGAGTCGTGGAATCACGAATTCATTAATTCAAATAAAGGGAGTTTAACTAGAAGATTTTTCCCTTCTATTAAAATGAGATTGTCGTGTCATCATTTCTTCACAAATTATAAATTAACCCAGTTTCTTACTGGATATGGGAATTTTAAAAGTTATTTGAACAGATTTAAGTTGAGTCCTGAGTCTGTCTGTGACTGTGTCCTTGGCGGCGAGGAGAATGTAGAACATGTGCTTCTTCTATGTCCTAAATATGAGAACGAAAGAAAAGTCTTAAAACTGGGACTAAAAAATTTTAATATTAACTGGCCTCCAGAATTTTACCAATTTATTTCCGAGAGAAGTGCTTTTAGCACTTTTTGTCAATTCATTGTAAAACTGTGTAATCATCCTTAATTTTATTTCAATTTTCTCTTCTGTTTCTTACTTACTTCTGTAAGCCCCATGTGATACTATGTGGTACATGGGGAACTTGTGTGTTTCTAAAAAAAAAAAAAAAAAAAAAAAAAAAAAACATGTACCACTATCTCTTTCAAAACTCTCTTGTGCAATTTGCCAATGCCCAGAGTGAAAATAAATATCCGCCGAATCTACACAAATGTAATAAAATTAAATAATAGGGAGGAAATTTAAAACTTTTTAAATTTAATTTATATTCTCAGAAAATACATAGAACATTCATTAACAGTGAGAAAAACCTATAAAATTAAATTGACAGACTTGCTACCCTAATAATAAACAATTTCTCTCTTTTAATACAGCATTTACTATTAACTGTAAATTAAAATAATAGCAAACAATAATTTACAAAAGAAGTTTTTACCCAGAATTGCACTATTAAGAGCAGCACAAACTGGCTCTCTTTGAACAGGATCTAATTGATAACCTACTGGACTAGCCCAAGGATCTGCATATGCCAAAAGACTAAAGGCATCCTACAATGGAATAAACATACATATACACATAAATAATGAAAAATGTCATCAATATAAATAAGAACACAGAATTAGATGCTTTTAAAACTGCACTATATTTTCTTTCCAAAAAAGGTGCAGAACAATAATTATTTTGATTGCTTTACTAAAAATAATTTTAAAAGTTTATAATTTAGTTATCATTGATACCATTTACAGTCGAATCCAATTAATTGGACCACAGGATAATCGGATCAGCTGCTTTTTTGGACCAAATCCTATGTACATAAGCCTAATATTATTCGCTTATTTGGACCAAAATTCTATTTAATCGAACCAAAAAATGTGACAGCAAATAAGAAACAGAAGCCACAAGTCGACCGCGTACAGCGGATGTACAGGTGGTCTGCGACACATGGGAGTATCTGTAGTTGCGGCTCCCCAGGAAAATGCTTTATCAAAGGTCAGGAATTCCTTAAAATGCATGAAAAAAGCAAAACTGATGGGAGGTGTGAACACGCACACCATTTTCTTTGACCTGCACCTCCGAGTTTCGAGGAAATGAACAACAGTGTCCTCTCCACCTGAAAGGAATTCCCGCCTGTCAATCATGATTAAAGTTTACAAGAGAAAGCTATCATTTTATCACCTTTTTCGGGATGATTTTAGTGCCAAAGCTTGAATGCGAAACACCAAGGTTTCTTCAGATCACTTTAGTCAGTAAACTGTGTGCGTGTCTTGTCTTCCTTTCCAAAATGCCACAATGGGACTTGACGTTAGCTGAAAAAATTGGTTTTTTGGATAAAATCAAGCAACAACCATGAAACACAAGTCAGCATCGGAACCGGATTGGCAAAGACCATAATTTCACGCTTGATAAAACAAGAGAATGAGCTGTGAGAAGAATGGGCACATGTGAAGGACAAGGAGGAACTTCCAAAAAACGGAAGCGTGAAGGCAAGGACCCAGATATCGATGAGGTCCTTAATGAATGGTTTGCCATTGTTACATTTACATCGTTATTGATCTGTGCGAGTAAGCGGCCCAATGTTAAAATGCAAAGCAGAAGAATTCACTAAAAAGTTGGGCCATGATGACTTTAAAGCTACGGACGGTTGGTTGTCTCGATGGAAATCTAGACATGATAAAAAATTCAAGAATGCACATGGCGAGAAAGAAAGTGCTGATAGTGCAAATGCTGAAGAATGGAAATCAATAACACTGCCCGGGCTTCTTGAATTTTTCAACAGACGACATCTACAATGTTGATGAGACTGGGCTGTATTATCGTGCAACACCGGACGGCTCGTTAAGTTACAAACATGTTGCACTCTCTGGCTCCAAAAAAGCGATGGATCATGTAACTGTCTTGTGCTGCTCAAACATGTCAGGAACGGAAAAGAAAAAGCTGTTGGTTATGGGAAAAAGCACTAAGCCTCGCTGCTTTAAAGGACTTACGATGGAGAGTTTACCAGTTGCATATCGTGGGAACAAAAATACATGGATGACCTCTGAACTTTCTAAAGAATGGTGAAGGATTGGGACAGAGAGCTACAACGCCAGTTGAGAAAAGTACTGCTTCTTCTTAACAATTGTGCAGCACATCCTCATTTAGATTGCTTGATAAACGTCCAATTAGAATTTCTACCTCCCAGGACCACAGCTTTGGTCCAGCCAATGGACATGGGCATTATCAAAAATCTGAAGACCCTTTATCGTGCAAGGTTGGTTAATTACATCCTTGAAACAATTGAAGAAAGTTTGCTGACCTCATCGCCATAAGCCAGCGAAGTCAGTGCAGAGGTCAACATCTTACAAGCAGTTACATCTGTGGCCGACAGCTGGTGAAAAGTGAGCAGTGAGACAATTCAGAACTGTTTTTCTCACTGTGCCTTTAAGCACTTGGTTTTGGAGATGGATGTGGACATGCTCATTGGAAGTGAAAATGATGATTTACATGTAGAACTTCAACAGGTACAAAATTCCAAAGAATTTTTATCCAGTGACGAGCTTCAATGCTACGATGAAAATGAAGATTACGATGCTACAACCGTTGCTCAAGCTGCAGCAAAACACACGACAGCATCGAAAGATCGAGAAAGTGATGATGATGATGCCGCTAATAAGTTGGTGCAAGTGACAACATAGGATGCGAGGAAATGCATTGAAACTTTGCATTGGTATTTCATGCAGGAGGGAAATGAAGGCAGTCGCATTGCTGTGTTAGATATTTGTGGCGATTTCGTTCACATGCAATCAATCCGTCAAGAGAATGCGTCAGATCACATTATATAAGTTCTTCAAATGTTGGCTGGAACTTGGTAAGAAATTGTTTTTATTGCGCTTCGCTGGTTGAGTATCATGGAGATTGTTTCTTAGAATTTATTTCTAAATTAATTTCCTCAATGAAAAAAAGTTCGATTGTATTTCTTGTTTGTACACTGACTACCAATAAGTATTTGGACACCTATGCAAATGACGATATCTGTGGTCCTAGGGTACGTCATGGACTCCGCTGGTATATATCGTGTAGGAAACAGCATCGGCTTGAAGTCGCATGAAAGATGCCTCGCAGTTCGGAGCTCTCTGATTTCGAGAAAGGTATAATTATTGGGTATCACAAATGTGGCCGATTCTTAAGGGACATATCTAGCGATCTGAAGTACCCAAAATCGACAGTGGCCTATGTGATTAAGAAGTGGAAGATGAGGGGTGATTGTCGGAATGCCCTGAGTCGGCAGACCAACGAAACTGGGAGATAGAGACCGACGACTAATGTCCAGAGAAATTCGGAAGAACTGCACCCAACCGATGGCCCTCATCCGCGAGGAGTTTCAACAGGCATCCAGGAGTATTGTTTCAATGAATACCATCCGTAAGGAAGCACATCTGCTTGGTTTTCATGGTCGTGCTGCTGCCCATAAGCCTTTGATCACAAAGTCCAATGCTGCTCGGTTAATGTGGTGCAAAGCACATCGAAATGGGACCGTAGATCAGTGGAAACGGGTTCTTTGGAGTGACGAATCAAGGTTCACCCTTTACCGTTCGGATGGCAGGGTCTGGCGTCTACCTGGAGAACGTCTCCTGCCAGAATGCATTGTGCCAACAGTCAAGTTCGGCGGAGGTGGAATTATGGTCTGGGGGTGTTTCTCCTGGTATGGGCTGGGATCCTTGGTCCCCATTTATGGTAAGCTCAACTCTGATGCCTACTGCACTATTTTGGATGACAATATGCTTCCTACATTGTGGCAGTTTTACAGGTTGGACTCCTGTTACCTGAACCCTACTGAGAACCTCTGGGACGAGTTGCATCACCGAATTCAGGGGTGCACTACCCGTGCAAAATCAGTGAAGGAACTTCTATGTCTTCTTCACGCTGAGTGGAAGAAAATACCACTAGCTGTCATACAAACACTTGTGGATAGTATGCCCCGGAGGGTCCACGCTGCAATTACCTCTCGTGGAGGCTCTATCAACTATTGATTTTGCATAAAGTTAGTTTTTCTTTTCTATCACAGGTGTCCAAATACTTATTGGTAGTCAGTGTATATGTATGTTCACCATACGTGTGTACCGTACCATAAAGTTCATAATTACATTTTAGTACATGATTACATGTACATTTACTGTTTGCTACATACAGCACATCCCGCCTTACAACATAGGGCATGTTCGTGCAATCAGACCAGCCGGTTATTAGGACCAAAACGATCGCTTCCCGATGCGGTCTGATTAACTGAAATCGACTGTATTTTAAAGTAACCAGATATTCTACCTATTAAATTTCAACAGAGTAGAAACTTCTGTGCCTTTTTAAATTACTATTATACTATGACTTCACTTGAGTTAATTCAACATATGAAAAGAACAAAATGTCATCCCCCACCAAAAAAGGGGGTAATTCAATCTTTAAGTTTAGATATTTATTTTTCCAAATTGGCCATTCAAAGAGAAAAACAGCAAGAAATTATGTAACTACATCCAATAAATAAAAATACACAGAAAATAAGTAAACACCATACATGGGAATATGAAGGCATCAAAGATTACATTCTAACAATATTAACCTTTTACATGCCACACTACGATCCAGGAATAAAAGACATAACTAATTCATAAAACTCACATTAGAATACACAAAACAATAAAACAATAAAATTGCTGTAAAAAATTTCTAAGATTTGCTGGATGTTCCATTTTTGGAACATTGGCGCATAACACTCTTTTTTTTTTTTTTTTTTCACTTCATGAAAACAAAACAATGTATGATTAATCTTAGAATGTTATACAGTAATAATGTATCATTGAACAATTTGACGAGAAATCGCTAAAATTTAAGTACAACTCCATAAAAAATTTACATAATTTTTAATTATTATAATATTTTATAAGAAATGCAATGCAAAAAGTATAAAGAAACAATAAAAACAATTTTACACTTACACAAGCTTGAACAATATACATTACATGAATAAATGCGATAGTAGGCTTAAATGGGTTAAAAAATTACCAGTAAAAAGTATAAAATTTTATCCTTTAGAAGGCAAGTGGGATTTTAATCAGTAGCAGAAAAAATATAGAACATTCTAAAACACTTATTTTTGGTATCCTTTTTAACAGTTTCTCAAGTGTCCATGATACTGTTTGAAGCAGTGTACATAGAGCCTTTTTTTTTTTTTTTGCATTCAAAACACATGTTTGTAGTCAAAATCGTAAAAACAACCTTGTATTTAGCGTAGGTATAACGAAACACTCAATCGATTTCGAGGGCAGCTAAAGGTCCCTCCTCATCAGGAGAAAGAAATACCTAGAAAGAAGAAAATAAAGGAAAAGGAGTCACAGAAACACGTGGTCCTTATCAGCACTGCACGTGGTTACAACTAGATTTTTAATTAATAATGAATTCAAATAATGATAATGATTATTTGAAGTTCAGATTTTGAGCGTAAGGTGCATTTGCCCATCGCTCCCTATTTTAACTTCGCTAATTTTTTCATGCTTGATCAGATAGCCTGGCTCAGTAAAAGTAGGCGGCCAGTGCAACTCTGATTAAAAATCTAGTTATAACCACGTGCAGTGCTGATAAGGACCACGTGTTTCTGCGACTCCTTCTCCTTTATTTTCTTCTTTCTAGGTATTTCTTTCTCCTGATGAGGAGGGACCTTTAGCTGCCCTTGAAATCGATTGAGTGTTTCATTATACCTACACTAAATACAAGGTTGTTTTTACGATTTTGATTGTCACATTAGCGTGTTTCTCTTCTAGTCTACATGTTTGCAGTGTTTTATGGCACACTACATAACGCCCTTCTGATGATATAACCGTATAATGTGCACTTGATTTTCTTGCAGACATCAATTGATGGACACAGGGTCCAAGTATAATGCAAATTTTAGGTTTCGTATGAAGCAAATTGAAAATAATTTCTCTTCTAAAATCCACATAAGTCATTTCTAGTGTGGTGTTTTTGTGTAAATCAGTGTGTAAGATTGATGCAGCAACCACAACCACATTCAGTGCATTGATAAATAAGTGCCAGTACCATATTTTTGCTGCAAAATTTTTCCCGATAACTTCCAAGAAAGAAGTCAGCTCAACAGGTCTGCTCAACCATTCCTTCATTACATAATTTTATAATGTAAGGCTGGGGAACATTAACTTTTTTTGAGCTTGGACATATTGTTTTGCTCTACCTAATGGTTCATGAGTAATTAATAAAATAAAATAGGGGGAAAAAAAACTTCAGAAGCACACGTGGTCATTTTTACTAAAAGAAAAAAGCAGCTATCAAAGCTCAAAACAGGAAAATACAGCTGAAATCAATTACCCCCTTGGTGAGACAGATGAGACCCCCTCCAGTCTTCTCCCCTTCCTTCTCCAGAAATAAAAGACACATCATTAATGCCTCTCAAAAAGGGCACATTTATGACAAATGAGCACTGAATGTATTTAAATCTAATAAAGAAAAATATACGTGTGACATCACTGATTTTGTATATCGTTACATGCCAATGTTCTTTTTTCGGAACATTGCATTTGAATTTCTTTTATTAACTAATTATTGTCCTTTGGAAGTACAATGGGTAAATTTTTTGGGTGGATTTAAATTTTTAGAAATTTTATACAATTTTTTTAAGTACTGTAAAAATTGTTAAAAAGACAATGTTTTGAAATTTTTCTACGCTGAAATATTCACATTTGAAAAATAAATTTTATATCAAAAAATCAATCATACCTTCTACAGTAAACAATATTTTTTTTCAAACTCACAGATATGATAGTTTATTTTTTAAAATATATTAAACATGATGTTCCAAAAAAGGTACATTGGCATGCATAAAGTTAAACTGCTGCAATTAAATTTCTAAGTTTTGAGATGTAGAAAGCAAAAATTAAAATAAAGTATTCATGCATTGAATTACAACAGCGACAGCAGCGAAAATACATTAAAATAATAATAATAAATCTGAAAGGTTTCAGATTTTAAATTACGTCCAAAGGGACTTTTTTGACATTTTGTCTGTTACCTTTATATATATATCCCGTTCCCGATTCAAAATTCGACGGCTCATGTACCGTTGTTTTATCACAATGTGAGAAATATACATATATTTATGCATATTTTTCATTATTTAATTTCTTAAAATATAATGCAGGACTCTTAACATTTTGTGGCAACAGTTTGAAAAGTGAAATTGGCATTTATAGTGAACCGACGCAAAATGAAAACAATAGTCCTTCATTCGACTAAAAAAATATCTGAAGGGCTTCAGATTTTAAATTCCATCCAAAGGAGTATTTTTTTTTTAACGTTTTGTGTGTTACCTTTATTTATTAAATATCACGTTCTTTGTACTTAAACCATAAAATTCAGTTCAACAGCAATGTCGCAAAATACTTTTAAAATAAGTAGAATTTCTGATACACAGTTCCAGTTCCGCATGCTGGAAATAAATAGGTTCAACTGGATGGCATCATCAAAGTGCCTAAAAACATAAATTTTATTTCTAAAAGTTTTACATTTCTATAGAAATTTAGAACTTTTTGATTAAAAAAATAACTACATTCAGCTACCCATTTCTGTATATACACATCAAATGTAGCATAAAAGGTAGCTACGTGGGGAAAAATTGTCTTATAGAGGCAGTGGTATAAAATACACAATGGCCCTCAAAATTCAGTATTCCATTCTAAATTTTCTTAAGCCTCAAATTTGTGTTTTTCGGGTAAAGTTACAATTTATACAAAATTTTACCGCAGTTTAAATTCCTTTATATACCACCCCTAAAAGGGTTAAGACAACTTTCAGACTGATAGATGTTAAGTGCTTTTCATTATGCAAAGACAGTGTAATCACAAATATCCTTATCAAGCCTTATCGAGAACCAAACAAGGTTTCCACAACATGTGCAGTCAACCTTGCTAACTATATTACCCGTAGTAGCATATAAATGGAAAAGATAAAGAATTAATGACTTTCAAAAAGTAAATTCAGCGAAGTATTGCAAAACTGAGTGTTCTAGCCCAGAAAACATATCCTATATCATTTCATTATCTTCAGTTAGACCATATTGCAGCTAGTAATATGCGCAATTAAAAAAATCCAAAAATTACTTCTGTTTAAAGTGCTGATTTTTTTTATTAATCATGAAGTTAAAAAATAATTTAATGTTTATATTTACTACAAAATACTGAACATACCTGGAGCATTTTTTTATTTGCTGTATTAGTACCATAATCCCTCTTGAGTTGAACACTCATAGAATGCAATTCCCTACCAAAATTAAGCATCCTTTCTATTGCAGCTTGACTACCACCACAAACTTGTTTCCTATTTAGAGGTGCGTCAACATCTAGAAAATTATAAAATTAGTCAGCAAAATTTAAATTATCATGAATTATCTTAAACATATACAGACACTTTTTCATTAAAACACCTCAGCTACATCATTTCATCCATAAAGAGTTTAACATAGTTTTTAATGCTCGCATGAAAATTAAGCGTTTCATTTAATTAATAAAAAAGTCATTAGAGTTTATATAAAACTGATGGCCTGAGAGCTGAAATAGGATGACAAAAATTATAACAATTTTGAAGTTTAACATTCAAATATGAACTACTTGAATCAAAATTTTACTTGTAAAGCAAAATAAAGTTCATATAAAATTTTATATGAAAAGGGCTTCCTTTTAGGAAGCAGGCTTCCTTCTTATTTCTTGGCTGAATATTAGTTTGTTTTACATTAAATTTTTTTTTTATAACCATTTACTTTTATAATTGTTCTGCATGCTATGTAACTATTAGAAAAAGGTCTGCTTTCCAAAATATTCTTATAGCCTAAATTAAGCTTTTACAAGTATTTTCATACTTTGTATTGTTGATATTTTTAATTTGTATCACAAATTTTTTTGGCTTAGTGAAATGCAATTTTCTAACAAATGTTACCCTTTTCATGCTGGTTTGTTTTTCTTATAATTAAATTTTTTTTGATCAACTTCTAATGAGATTCAAACAACTGCATATGTGCTTTATTAAAAATAATTATTTTTTAGTTTCCATATTATTTGACAATTTCTGGTTATTATTCCGTTTTTGCTTATTCTAGAATAGAGTTTCTTAAACTGTGAGACGTGGGACCTGCAGCAAGGGTTGCTAAAAATTTTAGCAATTTTGATATTTCTTTTAACTTATTATAATAATTTTACAATTACCGAATATTTTCACATAATTAATCTTAAAATATATAAAGATAAGACAATACAAAGAAAAAGCGAAAATGTTTTGATACAATTTTTTTTATAACAGAAACATTTATTTTAACTTTAAAGTTAATGACCTAAAACTGTAATAGTATGATATATTACAAGTGAAGAAACAGAGTTTCACTCATGCGTGTCAGATTTGCGCAATGCTTATGGGGTCCCCACACCAAAAAGTTTAAGAAACCCTGTTCTAGAATATGTAATTGATAGTGCTTGTTTTAACTTCTTTCAGCAGCTTTTGCCAATCATGAAGTATAAAAAATTCTTATAATTTACTTTCTCTCTTTCTTTAATTTTAGTCCGAGATTTTCCTATCTCCTCCTGGAAATTGAAGACTCTGTTATCCTTTACTTTCTTGCATTATTGCTATTGGCTTCATGGGAGATCTAGGTTTCAAGCAGCAATCTAAAGCAGTTTACCTCTTTTTCAAGACAGTTCTTAAATAGTATACGTCATCATCACTGATTAGATTATCCACTCTGTTCATTTCAGCTTACTGAGATGTTGCTGCTTAGCTGCAATCATGTCTACTCTTTCATCAGTCTAATTTTCACTTTTTCAGAAGCTCCTAGGTAGGTGCAATTAGACATGGATCCTTTTTCCTTTATTATATAACTACAAGAATTCTTTTGCCATCTGGACTTACTTATGTTTCTGATTAATGAGGGCTAGCAGATCTTCGGTTGTAATATATAACATATGCTCAAATGAAAATGGGACAGCTAAATTTCTGTAATGACTTATTAGACTGAATACCTATATAATTGCAAATTGAAGAGTGGTACACAGTTAACATTATAGCTATTGACTTTGTTGGTCAAAAATACACAAGAATGCACTAGATGAAACATGCACTTGTAAATAAAGATCATCCTGTTCATGGTTGTGCAAACTATGAACTGTCTATACATCATAACTTAACTTATTGCAAATTTTTATGTTGAATAGTGTTAACACTTCCCTTGCTCAAAGACAACCTGTCCGCAATATCCCAAATAATTATTCAACAATTCTCCTTCACAAAGAAGTCCATTATAGCAAGACTCTTCAATGTTTGATCTAGCTGTGACGTGTCAACTGTACTCACATACACATTTACGAATATCACTCCTCTATTGGAAAACTGTACTACCTGCATAAATGCAACCTCATACACATGCTTCATAAATGCAATCCCATTCACATTCTTCATTCAACTGCTAATAATGGCTCCATTAACAACTTCAGCTGTAAAATTAGATTAGTGCAATGCTAAAGCTGTTTACAGGAATCTACTGCATGGCATTACTTACGACAGTTCAGTTTCACTGAATGATACACTGCCACTAACCACTTTAAACAAGATTTCTCCTGACACACACAGCTATTTACTGAAGAAACTGAAGTTCTACCATAAGCTATAATGCTATTATAAAGTCCAACTTTCATTTCAAGATCTTTAATAATCTTAATAAATATGTTTATTTGCTCATCTGCTCAGTCTTTATTTAAGCATAGATCATTTTTAAAAAAAAATTAAATTGTTAAAACAGCAAGTAAAATTAAATTAGCTCTATATGCGATGAAATTCATGTGTGTATGGCATGAGAGTGTTTGTTATATAAGGAATTCATTAGAATTATTTTTACATATGTACAAAAATTCGTAATAGTGTCCCATTCCCATCTTGGGCAGGAAGCCATACTTATAACTAAGAAAAATTAATAACTGAATAATACACGTAAAACTAAACAATTTTAATAAATAATATACAGCTGATAAGACACTAAATAAATATATACAATATGGGAACTATGTACTATGGTGATAGTAAGGGGCTAGCATGTTGTAATGAATGACTTTAGGCTTAGAATTACATGATTTATGGATTCGAACTATGATGTCATTCAACCTGTTTAAGGACTTGTAAAACTGCCCCTGGTGAGTTTAGAAGAAAGTCCTTTCTGTCTAATCAGATTCCATAGCCATATTTTATCACCTATGTTGAATCTATGCCCTATAGCTCTCTAGTCACATATGGTCTTCACCTTCTCTGTTGACAAGTTTACTTGGTCTCATCCAAAATTATGCAACACTTCAAAACCGTGCCTGGAGATTCTGAACGTACTCCTCATGCATATCCAGAAGGTGACCAAACAATAGATCACAAAGCAGACACAGATCAAAACCATCTAGGATGGGGAGTAGCCAGAAATCAGTGAGAGATTATATAAAAACCTCAGTGGCGCAACAGCCCTAGTGGGTAATGGCCTGCAGCACCCCATCTGCTTTCTTGACATTAGGCCCCAGGGGGCATCAGCATATGCACTGGGCAAGTGGTCAGCTTGTCGCAGGGCCCTTGGTATTTAGTTCCCAACCGAACTTAATACTCATTTTACCGAAAGGCTTTTCAAATAAAGTACTCAGGTATTTTTTAAAACATAACTTAAAAATTCTTTGATTCTCTTATTTCTGTCATGGTGACAGAGAGAGATGATATTCCATATAACCCTGAGTTTTGACAATGAAAAATATGGTTTTTGATAAAATGTGTGATAAAGAAATCACTAATATGCAGTAATAAAACAGAATAAACAAGAAAGCAACAGTAAATGTGAAGAAATAAAGACTATGACACTGCCAATCATACAAAACATTAATATATATATCCGTATAAATCAATAAGTTGCAGATTACAATGAGCACAAGAAACAGCCATGAATAGTTTCAAAAGGAATATTTTGCACTGGATCAGTAAATAATGTCATTGATCACTGAAGGTGTGTCAAGGCAGTGTAAATAGCTATTGTGCTGAATACACAGAGAAGCAGTGAGTTATGATGTATGTTTCATGCTGCTCGTTCAAAACCAGAGATAAGTTACTGTTGGATCGTACTACAGTCAAAAGTCGTTAATTCAGACACCCATAATCCGGACCTCAAAGCTAAAATCTTTCTGTGCATGCGCCGCGTTGACGCATGCGCATAGGCATTTTACGACTGCGCAAGCGTAGAATACGTTTTCGCGTGCGCGTTTAATTTATAACGGACGGTATAAACTAAAATTATCTAATTATCTATTTCAGTTAATGTTGATGATTACATTGTTCCTTAATCTTCTAAATGGATCCGGCTTATTATTTTTTGCAGACCGTAAGAGCAATTTTATAAAAGTAAGCTTGAACTTTCGATTATGTCAAACAGAATTTCCGATTCTGGAGCTCTCAAAGGATCTAGAAAACGAAAGTATGTTTCGATGTCCATCAAACAAAAAGCGAATTGCTACAAAAAATGGATATCCTTTGTTTATCTAACCGTTCCAAAATCTGTTTATCAATTTCACGCTGCTCTGCGTGGGGGGGGGGGTCGTCACGGCGCACAATGAACTGGAAGTTGTTCTGTCAGCACTATCGTTATCTTCAGGGCAGATGTTTTTATTTTATTCGGCTTATAATTCCTTACTAAATGTAGTATTTAATCTCATTTACTCCGTCTTTGATATGATTTAAATCAAATTCCTCGTCATTATAAACATCACGAATACAAATCAAATAGTTTTCTGGTTGCGATTTTCTAATTTCGGCTATGCGTAAGGTACGCTTTACGCAATCGCGCGTTGAAAGAAATGTTTAATAAAGTAAACAAATAAATATTAAGCTTCTTTTTTTGTAAATTTTGATACCCTTTAGATCATAATTGCTCATTATTTTATAAATTACGGTTTCATATTTTTAATTTTATAATTTCTGCATGCTATCTAACCAGATTTAAACTGATGATCTATAATCCGGAAAAATCGATAATCCGGAATCGCCGAAGTCCCAACGAGTCCGAATTAAAGACTTTTGACTGTACTACATAATATTGCAACTTTTTGTTGCAATTCATGAGAAATATCTAAGTCTACTGAGTTGCAGTATATCACTGCATCATAACATACAAAGCCTCATTAGGTACAACTTCTTTAACCACCATCATTTAGTCCCAACTTGAGCCTCCAAAAGATTTTCATTTGTTGGTCACCTAAAAGCTAACCTTGGCAGAGCATGTTTCAGAGATGTTGCAGACATTCAATAAGGCTGCACATAGTTGAAGCAGCAACCCAAAGACTT